ATACGGAGGGAGTATAAGTTATTGAGAAATTAGACCCTTAATAAAAAAAAGTTATTGATCCAATTTCTTTACTATTACATTACCATGCACCTCTGTTTTATTATAATGTTGTTTCATATTAAGAAAACAATTAAGTTCAAATTAGAAAATTTACCAAACCTTTGTATTGAAAATACAAAACAGTACTTACTCTGAAATAAAATTTAAAGTATAAAACGGCACTTAATTTAAAACAGAGAAAATACTATCTTTCTTATTAATAGTTGTTCAATACTACATTTGATGCAAATTTGTTCTTTTAAAAGGTAAGGAAATAACTTTAACTGATTATTTATTAATAACTTTATCATATCTAGTATTAAATTAAAAATTTATGCACGTGGTTAAATTTTAACTATTCAATAATTTTTATATATATTCAATTATATATCTCTCGCCACTTCTCTTCCATTTTTTCGTCATAAATATATTACTGAAGAAAAGGGAAATATGAAAAACACAGCTGAACAAACAATGCAATATAATATAGTAATAAATTATAGAGTATTTATTTATGTTTGAAAGTTTTTTAATTTTTGAAAAAAAAATGTTAGAAAGTTTGTTTATGCGTTTGATACAAACAACTTCTAAATAACTAATTAAAATCAGGGAGACAAAAATTGTGATGAAGAGAAATATAAGAAGGACAAGGCATTGAGTGAGAGAGATTCTAAAGAGACTAAAGAGTTCAATGAATCTCTTCCACTTACTTTGATCCAATCTCTATCATTTAACTAGGGCCCAGGCAGTTGTGCCTCCAAGAATCTCGCATCTCGCTTCTTGCTTCATGGTTTGGAGTGTTTCAATAGTAATGTGCTCTCTTTGTTTGTTTGTTTGTGTTGTTGTAGGTGTTACTCTGTTAGGAGACACTGTGTAATTCTAGGTTTCCAAGCTTTTTGGGCCTATTATCAATGATAATGGAGTTCGAGAAAAAAAAAAAAAAAAAAAAAAAACATAACATGAAGACAGAACCTGGTGTTTACGTGAACATGGGCTCTTGCCACGTGTCCTGTTTCAAAACCTAATTTTGCCGCGTTTTGTACGTTAAAAACCTAATCAAATACGCTACGAACATGTTTTGCATGAGATCGAAAAAGGGCTAACAAGCCAATTATATAAGCCAACATGTAACTCTTTTCGAAACTTCTTCAATTGTTTGATTGTGATATAGAAGACTAGACCAACTTCTCTTTCTCTTTCTTTTACCAAAAAGAAGAAAAGAAAAGACTCTTCTTTCTCTTTCTTATCTATATTTGTTTCCTTGTTCTACATAATCTCCAACGATCTTAACTTGAATGATTATATGAAATTTGTGGACCAAATGTTGGAACGAAATAGAGTTAAATAGAAACGGTGTAGTTGTAATAAACAATTGTAACTTAATTTGTAACCAATTCATGATGGTCGAGACTGTTTAGTGGTTGAAGGCTTCATTCTAACGTTAGAGGAGTCGGAGCTTTTACACTACAATTTCACTCGTGGATCACGGTTAACTATTATAAACGGTTTGACCAGTTTAACTAACAAAAAATCACCAACTTTTTATAGGTTTCGAGGATTAATCATTTAATCTTGTTTTGGTTCGAGATTCCCCGGTTAACAAAAAGAAAGTGTAACTAAATTTTGATACGAATATTTTTAGTTTTATTTACTAATTATGAAGAGATAAGATTCAAGCAGCTATCGTTGTACGGCTAGTTGTGTTTAGGACACTAACTACTTAAGAGAGAGAGACATCACAAGAAGTTAAGGTCTTAAAGTTTTGAGAGAACGAAAAAAGAAGACAGAGATTGTCACATGGTTGCTTGACTTTGATGTCCTAAATAACGTCAACCACACACATGTGACATGTTAACTAAATTTCTTCCTTTTATATGTTCACACTTATCCAAGATTAGTGATGTTTCTGGTCGGCCAAAAATAAAAAACTTATGGACTTCCCTAATCCAGTTTTGTCAAGATCGTTTTTGAGGCTTTAGGAACAAATCAAAATCAGTCCAATCTGATTTATTTAGTACCAATCTTACCGGAAACGGGCCAGATAGGACCGATTAATCCATTAAACCTATTTTTGTTGATTTTGCATTTAGTGGTTAAGGTTAACCAGATTCAATAGACTGATATAAGTTTACAAGATTTGACAGTCTCCAAACATTGTAAATCAGTTGTTGTAGAACCGATTGTGTTCGAACGAGACCGGACCAACGCTTCAGAACATGCATATATCTATGAATTATATAAGGCCATCTGGGGAAAAACGGTCTATTTCTCCCCGAGAAGTATCGCATCATAACAGATAGAGTCCAAACTTTAACCTCGGTCCTAGTGTCCATGAAATGAAAGTTCTATTCCTACTTTCCCATGAATTCAAAGTTCAATACCTGAATGTCCCCGATTTAATAGTTCGAGAGCTAAAACCACACAGAACTGGGTTTAATCGGTTTACTGTATTCAAAACCGATAAACAAACCAACTAAACCTAATTTTAACCAGATTAAACCCGTTGACAACCCGATTTAACCGAATACATTTAATTTAATTAATTGTATAATATTTTTGAGTAATTTTTATTGAGTAATTAAGAAACAAAAAGAAAACACGATGGCTTTCTTCTTCGTTCCCCTTCGGTGAACGGTGATGTCGATGCCGATGATGGTGGCTATAGATATATTTTGCAGCGGCTCCCCTCTTCTTCTTATTCTTCCTCTCCGCCTTGATCTGCTTCACTATTGGAGCTTCATCGGCTTTGATTAAACCCGAATCGAGACCATCCGACATTATCCCATCCAAATTGAAAATTCATCGCTGAATCCGCCATTGTCGGCTTGATGGTTTGTGTTGATTCTTTTCTGGGTTTTGTAATTTGTTTCCCGATTGATTTTAAGATGAGAAATCTAACAAACAGAGAGATAATTCAATAAAACCAATGTAATAATAGAGATGTTGATTTGGGGTAATTAGATTGTTGTATTTGCAATGTTGCAATTGAACGAGTTTATCTTCAATAACAACACAGTGATTAATGGTGTTTGCAAAAACAGAGACGTGGATAAGGCACTGGAGATTGTTAATGGTGCTTCAATTTTTTCAAAAAGATTTGGGATTTGAAGACGAAGAATGAAGAAGAGCCGAACAACGTGCTGCAATTTTTTTGTTTTCTTTTTTTTTTGTTGGTTTTAATTATTGAAACCTTCTATATCAAAAGAAAGTTTGACATAAGTGGTTTGGTATCGGTTTGATTGGTTTTCTATTAGATTTAGTTCGTAAACCGATTTAACCCAGATTTATGGGAAAATAGATGAAAACTATGGATTCGGGGAGATCTAGGTTGACAAATATTATTTAGGAGACATCTAGCATGTAGTCATAGATTGGGCTCTATCTGTTATGATGTGATACTTCTCGGGGGGAAATAGACCGTTTTCCCGGCCATCTCGCCATGATTGTTTTGAACAAAGCAAATATTTATCTTTTAATATTTTATATGTTTCTTTTTGGTTGAAATTTTGAAGTTTTTATATGTTATGATATTATAATGCTTTATCTGTTATGATATATTATAATGTTTTAAAGAAAAAAAAAAAAAATGTTTTAAAGATATATATAAAACCTGAGTACCTGGCCAAAATGATTCCTAGTTTCACTTTGTTTGCAACCCTAATTATGCATAACCCTAATTATGATCATGAGCATCTCAGACCCAAATCCTGGTCCCATCTCCCTCTAGATCTCTTGATTTCGGTGTTCGAACGCCTAAGCTTTGCTAATTACCAACGAGCTAAATCCGTGTGTTCGTCTTGGTACTCAGCTTCGAGACAATCCGTGCCTAAAAATCAGATCCCGTGGCTTATTTTCTTCCCCGAAGAAGACAACAACAACAACAACAACAACAACAATTTTTCATGCACGTTGTTCAACCCCGAGGAAAACCACAAACTTTACAAAACGCAAGATCTTGGTGTGGAATTTGCAAAGAGTGTTTGTATAGCAACCTATGGAAGTTGGCTCCTAATGCGAGATCCTCGGCGTTATCCTCTGTATAACATGCACATTGTGAATCTCTTTACCCACGAGAGGATTGATCTACCTCCTGTCGACTTATTGTGGAAAGATTATGAAATACGCGTTGCAAGTCACAAAAGAACGTGGTATAGAGGTATTAGTATACGATCCCCTGTGTTTTGGATTGACGAGAAAACCAAAGATTATCTAGTTGTTTGGGGATTTGGAGATTGGTGTGTAGTTTACATCAAGAAAGGAGATACCTCATGGAACCAAATCCCGCAAACTTCAGATTGTTACCATATGGTTTACAAGGATCACAAGCTTTACTTCTTAAGCTACATTAAGGGTATTTTTAAAATCTTCGATTTTTCTGGAGAGACTCCACAACAAACATGTCAATCTTGTGTTCGTGTGGAACTTTTTCAAATACGTATACCAAGTAATTCATGGAGAATTCGTGCCACACAACTTGTAGTCACCGTAACAGGAAATGTCCTCAAGGTTGAAAAATGGTATAGAGCTAGGGATAGATCCTTGTCCTTCCGGGTTTTCAAGGTTTATTCATCAGGAGGATTCATCAAGAAACCAGAACAGATTTATTCTTTGGGCGACGAGTTTATGCTTTTGGATCAAGGCATCACTGTGCTCGCCAATAACACTGATGGATTCATTAGGAATTCCATCTATTTCAGTACTAGTCATGGAAAGAATACTAATGATATCTTTATCTTCAATCTCGAGACGCAGGAGACGGAGCGGCCTCTGCACACATTATTTGATAGTTCCCCAATTCATTTCTCCAGAGTTCAATGGTTCTTACCAAGTTTCACTCATACATGATTTTGATCTCAACAATGTTTTTTTTTTTATTCATATTTTCATGATGATCATGTGTCAGTTTATATTTTGTGAAAACGATCTATTTCTCCCTTAGAAGTTTCACATAGCATAAACAATGATAATAGATAAATTCATTAAGTTCAACAGTAATTAGCAACAAAACATAAGTTATTAGATTCCAAATAGGATAGGGCTAATGGTGTTATAACTTATTCAGCAAAAGAAAAGAGAAGAAAATCTTATTTAATACCTATAGATACTGCCATAAAGCTTAGGTTGTAAGAATTGGAGGCATGTAATCAGATTTAGCACCAAGGATACGGGCTTTTGTGTCGGGAAAGAATTCACATCCGGGAAGCTCAGTGATGTTCCCTTCACTAGCAATACCGATCGGGTAGCGAAGTAGATGACCAGGAAGATCATGTTCAAGTGACTCACTTGAGTAAAGATCCCAATACTTATCAGCAACACGGTTAACTTTCTGGATGCATTCTTGGCTCGATGGATCGAGGAATGTTTCATCGAGCATTCCTAGATGTTCATACCATAAAGACATGCGGAATCCATGGATTTGACCTCGAGCTGGTTGTCGTGTTGAGAGATGATATGGTTGATAGCCTCCCATTGCTATCTCTGAGTCTCTTGCACCATCCATTGACCTCTGGTTGATATTTGCTGATCCGATTATAATGTACTCATCGTCAACTGCGAAAATTATATGTTGAATCATTTGGTTAATATAAAAGATCATAAATCCTGAAAGTGTTAATACACTTACCAATCATCATTTTAGTGTGAACATAGATCATGAAGCGGCGTGCTTCTTGTGCTCGGATATAGTCAGTGTCCGGTTCAGGTTTCTCTGAAGGCTCATACTCTCCATCCTTCTTGACTTCTCGGTTTCCGAGGCAGAAGAATGTCAAATAATCTCGTGGATCCTCTCCCTCGAGTCCCTTTTCTCTCAGTGCCTTGATTACGTCTTTGTACATCATCTCCATTGTTCTTTTCTGCCAATCTAATATAGCTTGAACTGATCCGCTCTCAGGAATCCCTTCAGGCCACATTGGAACAACAACATAGACCTTAAACTTCTCTCCTGCTTTGATCTTGCTAACAATCTTCAAAGATAGCTCCTTTGGAATCAAATGCAGAGCATTGATTTCCTCTGGTTTGATTCCATCAGCGCTCCAAGCAAAAGAGCTTCCAAGGAAGTACTGGTTTTCGATGTAGATGAAATCTTTAGCTCGTCTAATCGCGTGAATGTACGCATCTTGAATACTCCTATCAATTATATTATCTTTTCCGCTCACAAGACCTGCTTCCGCTGCAGCTTCAGGGGAGTCAGGAAATCCAGCAGCTGCTCCACCATCAATGGATCTAAACAACTGAACATTCCACACGTCGTGATCCTCCGAGAACAAAACAGGAGAAGGCGGAATGATGATATCGCCGAGCTCTCTTATTTTAACCAAAATATCTTTACCACCTTGTCTACTCCATCTCTGCTCAAAATTATACAAGACATCCCAAGCAATAGGTCCTTCGAGACGGCAGTGAATGTCATGCCATGGTTCTCTAGGACCGCCTTTGGTTATCGCTGCGCCAGTGAAATTCGGTTGATGGAAGTCATCGTGATGCGCAGTGTCCAGTGTTCTAAACAAGGAGTGAAATGGAGTGTCATATCTTCCATCACAAAGATCAAGACCACCAACAAAACTCACAATTCTTCTAGATCTTGATCCTCCACTCGGCATTTCACTGTCTACAACAACAATCTTTTGGTGATGAGTGAACATAGTTGAGATTTGCAAGTTTTGGACAATGCTTCCACCATCATCAGGGTTACGAGGACACAAAATACAGTTCACGTCGGTTCCTCTGAAAAAATTCTCAGTTTCTTCATCATGAGTGGCCATAAGTCCATCTTTTTTCAGCAAATCAACCGATGTTCTATCGTCCCAAACAAGCAAAATTACCTTAACACCTTCACTAGCTTTCTTCTTGAGTAGCTCACCAATAGTGACATCTCCTCCTTGTTTCGGCCTCCTCGAGTCCCTCACCAAAGAAATCTCAGTGTAAACAGACCAACCAGTAATGTAAATCAAGTGTTTTGCATTAGTAATGGCATCGAAAATATCCTCCCAACATCGACCTGGCTCGTAGTTTTTTCCACCCGCGAGAGGGATTTTTGGGACAAAGTTTCCAGGAATATGAGCATCTTGATACAGAGAAACTTTGCAGCCTCTTCTCTGAGAGAAGAATGTGTAAGGAACTCCTGGAAACTTAGCACTTTTGATACCTCGATTCCAGTTTTTATCCTTCTCAACACCGAAATATTGGAGTTTCACATGGATCTTTGATCCTCCAGCAATGGGGTTTTTATCATTATCTAAGATATCAACCCATCTGTCAACTTCTTCTCCATGCAAAATATCTTCCACAGGAATATAACCTCTTCCGATCAGCGTAGCGCCAATCGGATTAGCATCCTTAACTGTGAAAATAACATGTTTGGCCATGTGACCACAGTAAATATGAAAAGATTCATACCACTTTGGGTTTTTTGGCTCCTTTGTTATTTTCCTTGTTCTTCCAACTCTCGCTTTCTCAAGATCGATTGTAGCGTAAAGCTGAGTTTCTCCTTTGCCAACACCAATTGTTTCTTCTACATTTGCTAGTATCTGCAGATATTAAAAACAGAAGACTGAAGACAGATTGAAGAAAAATGTTTCTTGTACCTAGAGAACTTAAAACGAGAGAGACAAAAAGACAATACCGATCCTAAGAAACCTGATCTACCTCCTTCAGCATGGAGACGATCAACTTCATAGATTGTCGCGTGCAATCTTCCATGTAACAAAAACTCTTCCATTATTTTTCTTCCCGCCTGTAACATCATAACAATATAACACATTATAAAGAGTCATACATTAGATTACGTAATTTCACATTTCACATTTTACAGATCCTGTTAACAATTTTTCTCATTTTGTTATTAACGTCCGAGAAAACAGAGGAGATTTGAATCTCAAGTAACTGATCCAGATCAAAACAAAATTGAATCACGGAAACACTTTAAGAGGGTAACCAAATTCCACATTATGGACGAAAGGCAAGCAAAACACTGAGAAATTACATACTGCAGTTATATAACAAATGTTAAACTTAAACCAAAGCAATTATGAGTTTCCTAAACATTTTATACTACCACTTGCCTCAAAACAAGAACTTAAAAGACATGTGATCCCAAAGATAATAAGATTTGCAAGAGAAAACGAAACTACCTGCAAAATTTCTCAGAGATTGAGAGAGAAGAGAGAAACTCGTTTGGAAGAATTCAGAATTTGATCCGAGAAGGAAGCTACTTTGTGTAGCTGCTGAATGTTTTTGTGATATTAATAGAAGATGAAGCACAAAAAGAAACGAGTTTATAGTTAATTAATTAGTAATACTAAAAACACTGGCTGTGAGTCTAAGACATTGCTACATCAAATACGTGTCCAAATGACCGAGATTACTGATACTAAACTCGCTCTCAAAAATGCCTTCATGATTGAAAATCGGTCACAAAAAAAGTAAAAACTAAAAATAGATTAATGTTGGACATGAATTCTAATTATTGCAGAATTTACAAAACAGACACATAAGAAATTACAATTCCAGGTGAATGAATGTATATTTGATGTATATCAATGTTTTATTTATTTTTTTGGTGTGTTTGAAGAATAATTCGGTTAATTTTTTTTATTTCCAACCTGGTTTTGATAGGAATCCGTTTGGTTTAGAGCCAACAGATTTACCGAACATAACTACCTAATGTAATTTAAAAGAAAAAGAAAAGAGAGAGAGTAAAAGCTCTTACTTTGGCCACAAGATTGTCCGGATCTCTCTCTCAACTTCACAATTTCCCCAAGTTTAGCGGTCCAATCTAATCCTCAAACCTCAACCAAAAAGCCAAGGAGGAAACGCGCGTGATACTCTTTTCCAGAAATGGGGAAGAGACCGCCGATTCCACCAGATATCGAACACGGACCACCACCACCAGCGCGACCACAGTTTCGCCCGCCTATTCCCGTGCCATGGGTTGCGTGGCTTGTGCCTCTCATTTTAGCAGCCAACTTCATCACATTCGCTACCACCATGTATGTGAACGATTGCCCTGCAAGATCAGATGAATGTCTTTTATTTGATGTCCTTGGAAGGCTTTCGTTTCAACCCATTAAGGAGAATATGCTACTCGGTCCTTCTATTCCCACGTAAGGAAGGATTTCTTGATTCCATAATGGTTTTTTTTCTCTCCAGGTAGAACAAGAATCTATTAAAAACTGGTTAAATACTTACATAATGCATCTTTGTTGTTGATTCAGGCTGAGAAAACTCGGAGCTCTCGAAAGGAGACTTGTAGAGGAAGGTGAGAGATGGCGTCTCATCTCTTGCATATGGCTTCACGGTGGTTTCCTTCACTTGATGGCTAACATGATCAGCCTCATGTGTATCGGAATGCGCCTTGAACAAGAATTTGGATTCAGTAAGACCCTTTAAACCCCTCTATTTTCCGTCTCCTGAATTGCTGTGATCTGATTTAAGAGTTTGGTATTACAGTGAGAATCGGAGCTTTGTATGTGATCTCCGGGCTTGGAGGAAGCCTGATGTCTTGCTTAACAGATTCCCAAGGAGAACGGGTATCAGTCGGAGCATCCGGTGCTTTGTTTGGATTACTCGGTGCAATGCTCTCAGAGCTGATCACAAACTGGACAATCTATGAAAATAAGGTAAAAAGGTTTTTCGTTTTCGACTTCAGATTTCTAGAAAAATAAAAACTTTCTGGTGCATTATTGATAGCTGATCTTAATTTTTTTCGTAGTGTACCGCACTTATGACATTAGTTCTGATCATTGTACTGAATCTAAGCGTCGGATTCTTACCACGTGTGGACAACTCTGCTCATTTTGGAGGATTCCTAGCCGGTTTCTTCCTCGGGTTTGTCCTTCTTCTCCGTCCGCAGTACGGATACGTGAGCCCTAAATACATTCCTCCTGGTTATGACATGAAACACAAGAAATCAAAACACAAGTGTTATCAACACATCCTGATGTATACATCTCTAGCCGTCCTTCTTGTGGGGTAAGTGTTCACAAAAGACTCCATAACTATCGTTTGGAAATAGCTTTAACACTATGAATCCCGGGACTGGATGCAATCCCCGCAGGCAGACAAAAACGAAGATATTCTCCATCAACACACAAACAAAAGCCCAAATGTTGTGAAAAGTTCTTCCCTTACTAAACTTTCCCTTAAAATTTCTGCAGATTCATTTCGGGATATACTAAGCTTCTCAGAGAACATACCATGCAGAGCGTGCCACTCAGAGATTTCAATTAGCAGCTTGTAGTAGCCAGCACAGCAGTGACACATTCTCAGGAAAAGACTATTTCACACAATCCCAAGGTTTTACCATATTTAACACAAATATCAACATCAGAAAGGTTATACATTTGACAAGTACATGATTCTAAAAGTACTACATATGTATCTGTTGTTCAATGGCTGTTGTAAACTATACATCTGTATAAAAGTATATATTAAACTGTAGGAAACATTTTTTTTACATATCTAGATTTTTTTGGTGGCAAAGTAGGATCACAATCAATAATGTATTCTTAGATCTCACATGAATCAGATCGACCAAACATTGCATATCGGTTGTTTGCAACATTTTCATACAAAAAGTCTCTCACAAACCTGCAACATGTCAAAAGAAAAATGTTTATTAAGATCACTAACTCGAGAGGCGTTTCCTTCCGCTATTTAAACCTTAAGCAAGAACTTACAAAGGCGCAAACTGCATGAAGAACGCAAGCTGTGGAAATGGTAAGTCAATGTATTTCATGATCTTCAACACCGCTTCTGACTTTATGTAAGACCTATCATTTTCCACAAGTACGACACTCGATATATCGTCAGGAGCTCTTCCTGATCGCATTAACAGTTTCTTGCCCGCTTCGCTCTGTAATGCTTCAAACCTAATGCTCCTGAAAACATTTGCATAGGTTTTTACCTTCCATTTCCCATTGAAAATTTTGAAACTTGTAATTTGACATTGGTGACTGAAATCAACACTAACCTGTTTCGATCATGGTCTCTAACAAATTTAACACCTCCATTACAAAGATTGCAAACACCTATAACATAAGAACAAGAATATTAAGATTCAAATAAACATCAACTTTACTACGTTGATACATTCTAAAGAACCAGAAACATGAATATGTGATCAAACTTATATAATTCGAACTATAGCATAAGTGAAATTTTGGGAAAAAAAATCGAACAACTAAAACAATAATAACTGAAATTAGAGATTAAAATGAAGATGACTACCATCGAACAACATGATCGGCCTCTTGTCTTCTTCGAAAAAGCTTGAAGTTTCCTTAACCCAGTCCACTGAATTGGGACGAATAGTGCGTTGGTTAGCAGAAGCAGAAACTCTCAGTTTAACTTGTGTACGCGACGGAACTGTTAATCGCCCGAAACTCGCCGGAATAAGGATCGCCATCTCAAAGCTTCTCGCCACCAAACACAGAAACGGTAATCTTCTCCGGTGAGCCACTAATTTGGCTTAGCTTTTGATTTAATTCTCGAGAAATGGTTTTTCCGTAAATAAGGAATTGATCTTAGGGGTAAAACATTTGCCACGTCATTAAAAAGTAACCAACCACGTCATCAAAATCCAGCCAACCAAAGATTTAAACCACGTCACTTAAGAATTTCTTAAACCGGTCCAAATTTTGTAAACCGGTTTCCTAATTTGGTACCGATCTTGAGAGAAAACGCTCTTACGGAGAAATCGTGCCTTAAAGCTGACCCTGAGAGAAACTCTTCTTCACTGCAACGCTTTTGAAACAAAAGTTCGTCACTTGGATCTGAATTACAATACTTCGGCGAGAATCTGAATAATCGAAGGTTCAAGATGGGTTGGATCGGAGAAACTGTAGATTCTATCAAATCTATTCAGATCCGTCAACTTTTCACTCAAGCGATCAGTCTTGGTTCGTTCTTCGTTCTTCTTCTATGTTTCGTCTCATTGAACTCTGTCTGATTTGGGTTTATGTTACAGTAAATCGATTAATTGGCATTTAGGGTTAGTTAATGTATGAACATTTTTGAATAAAGTTGAAATCTTTATAGAAAATTAGAGAGCCCTTTGGTTATTAGGAATTGATGAAGTTGATGGTGTTTTATTAGATCGTTTACTTTTGAAATTGAGGTTTAATTCTTAATAGATTACTTGTCTTACATGCGTGTTTTGAAGTATAAACTCTTTTGAGGGGAAATGTGGTAAAAGTTGTTGTTAAAGTTTGTGATTTTTTTTTGGTTCTGAGCTAACAAGATTAGACACCTGATGGTTTATTGGTGGTTGTATTATTTGTTTTCAATTTCAATATGAGTTATATGACAAGATTCTGGCAGAAGTAAGTGATAAATTGTTCTCTGTGTTGAATTCTGGTAGGGATGATTGTTACGTCTGCTTTGATCATATGGAAAGCTTTGATGTGTGTCACTGGAAGTGAATCTCCGGTGGTGGTTGTTCTTTCTGGAAGCATGGAACCTGGTTTTAAGAGGGTAACTAGACTTAGTTTTTCGAGATACATAAGATTTTATAGCGGCTTTGCTCGAAATGTGAAACATAAGTGTATTGAATGTGATATCTTATAGGGGGATATATTGTTCTTGCACATGAGTAAGGACCCTATTCGAGCAGGCGAAATTGTTGTTTTTAATGTTGATGTAAGTTCCCTTGTTGTTTTTGTTCTCTTTCGCTCTCCCTTTGATTTGTGGGTCCTTCTCCTGATTGGATTTTGTTTTTCTTCATCCTTCTCCTCAGGGTCGTGATATTCCCATCGTCCATCGTGTCATTAAGGTAACTTTATCATCCCTCGCTACTTATATTGTTAATGATTGGTGTAGAAACCTAGCTGATGTTTATCACATTGTAGGTTCACGAAAGGGAAAATACAGGAGAAGTTGATGTTTTAACAAAAGGTACTGGTTTTATTGATATAAAACTTTACCCTTAGAATGTGAGTTGTTTTAATAGTGTTACTCTTCGACACACATTCGCATTTTCAATTTATGTTTCCAGGTGACAATAACTATGGAGATGACAGACTTCTGTATGCTGAAGGACAGCTTTGGCTTCATCGACATCATATAATGGGTCGTGCTGTCGGGTAATTAGTATACTTGAATCACAAAACTCTCAATGCCTGTGTAACGCTTAAATCAAAGCACTTCCGTGACTCATAATCGTTTTACCTTTTTGTCTGTTTCAGGTTCTTGCCTTATGTTGGATGGGTGACTATTATCATGACAGAAAAGCCTATCATCAAGGTACATTCTCACTCTTTGATCCAATCAAAAATGAAACTTTTTATCTTTATGTTTCCGGTTTTGTGACCGCTACATATGTATCTTCTCTTCTTGCAGTATATTCTCATAGGTGCATTGGGTTTACTCGTTATAACCTCCAAGGATTGAGTCTTTTGGAAAGGCTGCAAACCCTTGGTTTACTATTAAACTCTTGTTATTTCAATGGAAAACAAAAAAGAATTTAAAGACTCGTTTTTGTAGAATCAGAAGCTAATTTTTAGTCGTGGAGAATGAGTTAAAACCAAAATCAAGATTTGTTATCCTATGAACGGTCTTGCTTTGTTAAATTCATATCAAGATTGGAAAAATAAGTAGTGGCTATGGCATATGTATGTATGGACAAGGAATCATTTACACTCAGAAAACACATCAAATACAATCTCGCTTTAACATAGAAAATGAATCTTAAGAACCAGATAACACTGCGAATCTGTAAATGAACAGAGGTGTAATAATATGCATAACTAAACAAGGAAAGTCGTGACTGAATCGCAGCTACTAAATGGTTAAGAGGCTATGGGCTTTGATGGGCCATCACCTTTGTTAGTTCAATTTGGGTCTCAATACTGGGTTTCGAATTAGCTCCTTTCGTTTAATTTGGGTGAAAAGCCAACCACTTATTGTAACAATAAGCATTTTTGCCACATTTAATTTAATGCAAAAGAAATTTTCGTACATACTCTTATCTTTTTTTTTGTTTTGGGTAGTAAGTACGTACACTTATCAAAAACTGAAACTTTGGCTAAACTAGACCTTATTTAAAATTGAAACGATATTAAAAAAATAAAAAACAAAATTGGACCTAACCTATTTTAGTCATCTTTTTTCGATGGATCTCTCAACCGTGTTTTATACGGAAATTTTTGTCAATTTCTGCCAGCGACAATCTTTCCACCTCTAAAGATTAGAATTCTTAATTGTCCATGCTGCAGTAACCATGTCATGCTGATATTTTAGCAGAGCATTGGCTTTCTTCGAAGTTCTTCCCCTCAGCCTTGCATAGTTGGTATTCATTTTCAAGCTAGCAACTTTCATATAACTTTAGCCCATCCGAAAACACATTGACACCTGATATAAGAATCACATTTACGGATTTGAAGGATTTTGATGTAACCAAACTCAAAGAAACATGGTCTGGCAAAAAAAACCCTGCCAATATCATTATAGTTCCTGCAATGGATATTGTAAACACAGTTGTTGTAATTAGGAGGAGAACAACCTGAGAAGATAGCCCAATCCAAGTGGAGATTTCATCTAAGAATTTCTTCAAGGGAAACCAGCGATCGTGAAGAGAGAGTTGGTAAGACTTGACCATCATCTATGATGCACGGGTACTTCTATATAATGTCGTCTCACGTACCGAAAACATTTTGGGGACGAAAACTGCACGAGGACGCTAAGAGACATCTCGAGTTAGGCCGGAACGACAAGTAATTAATGGGGACGTATCCAAAATATTTCGATGTCAAAATAGATGTTCCAAATCATTTTTTATTTAGATTTTAATCGGAAATTGGTTGTTATTAGATATGATTATCATGATTTACGATAAATAAACAAAAACAATAATTAAGTTGTGAATATACTATGAAGTCTGTAGATTAGGTTTTTAATAAGCATGTGGTCTTAGGAACACGAGTTTTTTACCATCTACTATGCATTTTTGCAACACTTTTAAGAAAATCCAATCGGGTCGGTTTTTTTTTTAATTTTGACCCGGAAATCTTCAATTGGATCTTCCCTTAAATTTTGTCAAATGTCAAAAACGAAATTATTGTAATAAAATCAAAAATATATATATACTCTCAACTAATTACTATATCTAAACTCTTTATTTATGGAATATTTCTTACGATTTTTATAGATAAGGAAATCAAATATGATGATTTAATGCTAATATAATATGATGATTTAATGCTAATATAACAAATTTGATCTAATTTCCTAAAAACTTTCTACCTAATTTAAACATAAATAGATGATTCTCATTTTACTTTTATATTATCTTATATATATATACATATATATATATTATTTTGAACTATTATAATATATATTTCATTAATAAAATTTTCGATTTTTTCTGCATATGCTATGATTCAAAAATTTTAAAACGGACATATATTACTCAATCGATAAAGAAAAAAAGTATGTGTACAATCTATATTAACATTTTTGAAGAACAAATTTACGCGTTTAATCAGGTCGTATTTTTTTTTACTCTGACTCGGAATTGAGTCATTCGGATATTTCCTTAATTTCTACAATTATCCAAAACCGAACAATATACCACGGGTGAAATCCTAAAATTAACAAATCAAAATATAATTATTTAGTATTTTAAGATACAATTATAAATTATTTTTATGTGTTGGTCCAGAAACACACACTAATTTTAATATATATATATATATATATATATATATATATATTATGGAAACCATTTGAAAGCAGAATTTTAAATTGACTCGAATTATATATCTTTTTAAAAAAGTGTTATTAAAAAAATAAAAAAAATGATGTTTAATTTTACGGGATGATATTAGATGGTGGGACGGGTTTGGATTGATATTAATACGGGACAATATATCACGGGTGAAATCCTAGGATTAACAAATTAAAATACAATTATATAATTTTAAACACTAAACAAAACAAATACAACTTAAAATTTCTATTTTTTAGTTACAACGCATGTGACTTGCGGTGTACAACAAAAAATATTATATACAACAAATTCATCAATTTATAAAAAGATAAAAAATCAAATAATTAACCTGCGGTGTACTGCGGATCATATCCTAGTTCATTAATATTTGTGTATCACGGAAAATGGCTAAAACTGGTCAAAAGTTATTTGAACTGGCATCTCTTACGAGGAACCTACCATATTAGTCTATATACATATATCCTTGATAAATTATGTCAACCCATAATTCCCTAGGTTTTCATGTGTATTGCATGTATTTATGTTGTAGCCGTAACTCTAAAATTTTGTTTTACCGTTTTCTGTCTCAAATAAAAAGACAAAACGATATCGTTTTACTGTTTAACCGAAACAGTTAACAATGATTTAACTCCGTTAAATTAGTCTTGTTTGTTGATTTCACGACATGCTTTCTTTGAAAAATGTCAACCAAAATTGATAATTTAGGGGGGGTGTATTGGATTTGATATTTTAGGAGATTTGGTAGAATTTGATTATTTTAGAATTTTGAGAGCTTTAAGTGAAGTTTTAGGAGTTTTGGTTATTTGTTAAGAGTTTTTATATAAAATAAAGAAAAAATGATTGGTGATTTGGGGAGATTTTATTATTAAAAACTTGTGATTTGAGGATACTTTTAACCAAAAAAAAGAAGAAAATTTGGGTTTCACAGCTCCTTTTCTCTCAACGACGAGTTCAACAAGCATAGAAGAGTATACAAGGCTCCATGATACAGATTCAACAAGCGTCGTCTTTCCTTTTCTTTAATTTGAGGTGTAATTTTGAAATTTCTTCTATTGATTTTGAGTTGTGGGGTTCACTATCTACGTGGGTTGGTGATGATTTTTTAGCTAATGTCACTGTTTTTGTGTTTATAGATTCTAGAATTTTAATGATCGATCAAATCTCATTGTTGTAGATTTATTATTCTTGTGTTATGTGAAATCTCTATTAGTTTAGACAACTTTATTACTTTTGTGTTATATGAAAGCTCTTGTAGTTTAGACAAGCTTATAGTTCCATTAAAGGGTTTTGGCTCCACTTAAGTATTTGTTTTTGAAAAGTCGATTATAGCTCTTCTCTTGGTGATTTCATCAACCTATAATACACATGCTTAAATTTGATTATGGACTTCGACAAAAAAAAAAAAATTTGATTATGGATCAACAACACCAGCAACTCTTGGCATGCTTTAAAGAGAAAATAGACATTGTGGTTAAAGGAATGAAACACTTTAGGCTAGAGGAGAAGGGCCAACATCATTGACAAAATAAATCATGGACCAATGACGAAGATTTCAGCGGCATCCGAACCCAAAGGATTGGGGATTTCAAAATTGACGAAGATTTCAAGAAAAATCAAAAGAAACGACGAAGGATTTTGGCTTATAGCAATTGGAGAAGATGACAGGGAGTGACGCAACGCAAGAAAATTCAATGGAGGGAGAAAAGAGATGGAAGTCACAAGCTCAATTCATGTATAATCTATAAAAGTAGAATTGTGAATCTGTAGATCTTTGGTGAAGCGATGTTGCAATATCTTTGTTAGTTGAGTTAACTTGCAGAGATGGAGGTAATTACAATATCTCTGCAATTGTTTCTCGATACATTTTTTTAAAGTCATTCAAAGTTCCACCTCTAGGGGTGTGATTTTTCCAGTCATACTTTTCAACTAAAAAGGTAAAAAAAGTCTCCTGAAATCATTTTCAGTAGCCTATTCTAAAAAAGTTATGATTTTTTCAATAACAGTAGATTTGATATGAATTTTACAAATTCTTGATTGAATAACAAGAGATTGTGAACTATTTTAAGTGATTTTACATAAATTCCAAGTTCAATAACATAGGATTTTAGAAAAATTTTAAAAATCACCTGTTGAATAACAAGTGATTTTAAAAGTCACCTAAAATTGTCTAAAATACCAAGTCCAATACAATTAAAAATTAATTAAAAATCGGTAATTTAATTCACCGTAAAAGGAATTACACACCGTAAAAAAATAAAATTCAGATATTTTGCGTAATCAATTGATAATTCCATTTGATTCGATTCGGTTTGGTGCTATCTAGTTAGCTTTTGGTTAAAATTCGATTCGGTTTAATTCAAAAGATAACATAATATGGACATAAATTGAGAGTGGTTCATAAACCGAGTTGGTTCGGTTTGGTTTGGTTTCTTTCCGGTTACTTCTCTTCTTCCACACCCCTAATTCAAAAGATACAATCGCCGTTGACGACTAAACCATTCACCGTCGTCTGTAATGTCTAAAACCCTTCTCTCTCGCATCAAACCTCTCACCAATCCTCCTACATCTAATTCCTTCCGATCTCATTTTCCGATCACTCCCCGTATCAAGAAACTAGTCAGCGACACTGTTACCATCCTCAAAACCCAACAAAACTGGTCTCAAATTCTCGACGATTGCTTCGCTGATGAAGAAGTACGCTTCGTCGACATTTCACCTTTCGTATTCGATCGAATCCATGACGTTGAAATCGGCGTTAAGCTTTTTGATTGGCTTTCGAGTGAGAAGAAAGATGAGTTCTTTTCAAATGGGTTTGCTTGTTCTTCGTTTCTGAAGCTTTTAGCGAGACATAGGATCTTTAATGAGATTGAAGATCTGTTGGGTAATCTCAGAAACGAAAATGTGAAGCTTACTCATGAAGCGTTGAGTCATGTTCTTCACGCTTATGCTGAATCAGGGTTTTTAACTAAAGCAGTGGAGATTTATGATTATGTTTTTGAGTTATATGATTCTGTGCCTGATGTTATTGCTTGCAACTCGTTGTTGAGTTTATTAGTGAAAAGTAGGAGACTTGGAGATGCACGGAAGGTGTATGATGAAATGTGTGAGAGAGGTGGTTGTGTTGATAATTACAGTACTTGTATATTGGTCAAGGGTATGTGTAGTGAAGGGAAGGTAGAAGAAGGTAGAAAGCTGATTGAAGATCGATGGGGTAAAGGTTGTGTTCCGAATATTGTGTTTTACAACACAATCATTGGTGGATACTGCAAGCTGGGCGATATCGAAAATGCGAAACTTGTTTTTAAGAAGTTGAAGTTGAAGGGATTTATGCCAACTTTGGAAACTTTTGGTACAATGATTAACGGGTTCTGCAAGAAAGGAGATTTCGTGGCGAGTGATGGACTTTTGAAGGAAGTGAAAGAAAGGGGTTTAAGGGTTAGTGTTTGGTTCCTTAATAACATCATTGATGCTAAGTATAGGCACGGTTATAAGGTTGATCCAGCTGAGAGTATACGATGGATAGTAGCTAATGATTGCAAGCCTGATATAGCAACATATAACATTTTGATTAATCGTTTGTGTAAAGAAGGGAAAAAGGAGGTTGCTGCTGGGCTTTTGGATGAAGCATCGAAGAAAGGGTTGACTCTGACCAATTTAAGCTATGCCCCTCTAATACAAGCCTATTGCAAAAGTAAAGAGTATGATATTGCTTCTAAGTTGCTTCTACAGATGGCTGAAAGAGGATGCAAAACAGATATAGTTACATATGGAATTCTTATCCATGGTCTTGTTGTTTCAGGCCATATGGATGATGCAGTTAATATGAAAGTTAAATTGATAAATAGAGGAGTTTCACCGGATGCCGCCATCTACAATATGCTGATGAGTGGATTGTGCAAGACCGGTAGGTTTTTACCTGCCAAACTCCTCTTCTCGGAGATGCTAGACCGGAGTATCTTACCAGATGCTTATGTGTATGCCACACTCATTGATGGATTCATCAGAAGTGGTGATTTTGATGAGGCAAGGAAAGTTTTCAGTCTCTCAGTCGAAAAGGGTGTGAAGGTTGATGTTGTGCACCACAATGCTATGATAAAGGGGTTTTGCAGATCTGGAATGTTGGATGAGGCATTGGCGTGCATGAATAGGATGAATGAAGAACGCCTTGTACCCGATAAGTTTACTTATTCCACAATCATCGATGGATATGTAAAGCAACAGGATATGGCTACTGCCATAAAGATTTTTGGAGACATGGAGAAGAATAAATGTAAGCCAAACGTTGTAACATACACATCACTTATCAATGGTTTTTGTTGCCAAGGGGACTTCAAAATGGCTGAAGAGACTTTCAAAGAGATGCAATCGCGTGACCTTGTGCCTAACGTTGTCACCTACACAACACTTATACGAAGTTTTGCTAAAGAGAGTAGTACCCTTGAAAAAGCAGTTTACTATTGGGAGCTAATGATGACAAACAAATGCGTTCCTAATGAAGTTACCTTCAATTGTCTACTTCAGGGATTTGTGAAGAAAACATCTGGAAAAGTTCGTGGTGAACCGGATGGTTTTAATCACGGACAAAGTTCTCTGTTTTTTGAGTTTTTCCATAGAATGAAATCAGATGGGTGGTCGGACCACGCTGCTGCTTACAATTCTGTCCTTGTTTGTCTCTGTGTACATGGAATGGTGAAAACCGCATGCATGTTTCAGGATAGGATGATGAAGAAAGGCTTCTCTCCTGATCCTGTTTCATTTGCTGCTATTTTACATGGTTTTTGTGTGGTTGGGAACTCAAAGCAATGGAGAAACATGGACTTTCGTAATCTGGATGAAAAGGGTCTTGAAGTAGCTGTTGGGTATTCGCGGGTTTTAGAGCAACACTTACCTAAAGCAGTGATATGCGAGGCTTCAACTATTTTGCATGCAATGGTTGAAAAAGCTGACACCAAAGAACCGGAGATCTGTAGAATTTCCGTAAGGTAAAAGACAGATTATTTGCTGCTGAATGAAGACAAGAAACTGATTTCAGAATGTATACTAGTTTCTTGTATTTGCAGACAGGAGGGTCTCATCGACTCTCAAAGGGCCATAGTACATGAACAAATTGTTGTCATTATAAATGTTGTGTCAGCTCAAGAATGTGGTAAGAAAAGAAACAGTATTACAGCTCAAATTCACAGAAGCAATCGGGTAAAGCGAAACCTCTGCCAATGGCAAAATCGCTTTTATGAACTTCCCAGAGAGCTTTCTTCAACTCTGCACCTTCAAGACCCTGAGAAGTGAGCTCCGCAAATGCTTTTCTGCTCAGGAACAGAGTATTATGCATCTGTTTATATGTTCGCATAGCTGCAACTATTTTATCCATGTTTCCAAAGTAGGTAGCCACATATGCGTCACTGTTGATGGACACGTGATAATCCAATGCAGCTTTTGTGTTTCCATGCATTCTGGTGAAATCCTCTTGGTTAAGTAGAACAGACTTTGTGAACACATTTGTATAAACGGATGTGAATCCTTCCATCTCCATTAGACCGTCTCCAGCTGCTAAGTAAATGTTTGTGCTTGTTGGGATGTTAAGTGACTGAAGCATCAACACTGTTTCATTAGGAGTCAGAGGGCATTTGCCTCGCTTTCTCCATGTCTGAGCTAGTTCTCCAGTCCATGGCTTCCTATCAACACGAGCAGCTTCAATGGCAGCGATAGATGAAGGAGAGAGGTTTGGGTATTCACATTGGCTGTACGCTACCATGTCCGGTTCAAATCTGAGGTGAAGCGACAAGAAGGGTTTGGGAATAGCATCAAAAAGCTCGATGGCCTTCTTCTCCAAGGAACTAGTAAGGCGTATAGCCGAATAACAGGCTTGACATAGAGTGGCTCTTGCAAATTCGGGATACCTGTTGTATCAAAGTAGAAGAGTAAGATACTTGAAATATTTATAAGCAATTACAGACAAAGACAATATAGACTATTAGAAAGGCACCTGTCCCTGCGTTGGCTCATTGCTGGTGTAAAAGAAATGTAATGATGTTCCAACAACGATGGAAGAACACTTTCAATGTAATCAAATTGACCCTTCCTTTTGCTGCAGTCTACTTTGAATGGTTCTTTTGATGCAATATCTTTTGGCAATTCTTTAACAACTTCGATATAACCACTCATCTTTTGAATAAAGTAGTCTACATCAAAAACATCTGCAAATCCACTGCATCAACAAATATGACTGATTATTTCTCTTCCTTGATTAATTTAACGAAGCACACACTTGGAATTGCTATCTAAGCTTTGATTTCAAGAGAAAGTGGGAGTACCTTGACTCGTTCCAATACGCAGCTACCTCAAACTTTGGCAGAACAAGTGTGGCATTCAACAAACGGGCAATCCCAACTCCATCACACAACTGCAAGCAGCATCACATCATCATATGATTTACTTCCTAAAGCAGAAATAATGCAAGTTGAAATCTTCATGGTTTAAAGTCAACTCATAAGATGGCCGATCTTTTGCTTTTTCAAACTTACATCGCGTCTCATCTGATTCAGGCCGCCATAGCAATCAACGCGGATATATCCATTAGTTTTAGCGGGTAGAGCTGCAGGATTTGAACAAAAAACCAAAGCAGTTGTCTGCAATGAAAGACCGATCACAAAAGTTCAGAGAAGTAAAACTCACTACAAGCAGTCTACATTCTACCCAACTACAAAGTCTTCTCTTTTCAGACCAACACCAAGATATTGTTACTGGAATTGATTAAATCCGATTCAGTAGCTAACCTCAACCAAGATATTGTTACTGGAATTGATTAAACTGTCTATTTACATAAATTTTGCTTCATCCCAAGTAATATAATTGCACATCAGCTCAAATCCATCACAGAATCTTTCAACAGAGCAGAACCAAAGTGAAATCTTTAAGTAATAAAACTTAGGAGAATGATAAGAGAACAGTACATACGAGTGAGATGTCCTTGTAACCACCATTTGCAAGGTCTCCATTCCATTATCCTCTTCACACTCCATATATCAGAACCCCTGAAGCAGAGAAAACACAAACCAATTTCACTTGAAGAAGTTTCATTATAATCAAACTTTATAGCCAAAATGACAACATTTTGAAGTAGAAATTATGCTAATTGAGTTTTCACCCACTGATTAAACATCTGAATACTTCCCAATACCCTAACCGTTTGATGCGATTCTTCTTCGTGAACTAAAATATCGAAGCAATAATTGGAAATTTCAAAGAAGAACACTTACACTGATGAACCGGAAGGAAACGGAATCTGCAGAATATGTGGCGACGGAGATAGAAGAATAACGACGAGAAGAAGAGAGAAAGTTAACACGAAGACGAACAATGGCTTCACCGGAGATCCAATCATTTGATTACGTTATTCAATTGCAACTTCAAGATCGGAACTTTGGTAAGTGTCTCAGATCTATAAAATCTCCACACACAACACTATCGTCGTCGGTGGCATAAGAACTCTGTTTCGTCACCGGAAAAAAATAAACAAAATAAAAATATTTCAAAGTCTCTGGTTCATATAGAGGCTTTAATCATATATAAAGATATAACTAACTATTTTCAACAGATTATTCATATGTTAAAATGTAACTTCTCATATAGTATCTCTTTCAAGCTCAAAATCATCATCATCATCTTCACTTCCTTCACTTCTACGTCCCATTCTCCTTCTCTTTCCTCTCATCTCAACCGCCATATCACGAACCGAACAAGAACTGCTTCTCTCCATCTTCCCTGCCAAAACATCCACAACATCCATTTGTCCCCAACCGACTAACCGATTCCTCAACATCTCAACCGTTGTCGAATACGGCGGAATCCCTTCATCAATCATCATCTCAAAGTACCTACAAGCTTCCTCTAACTTCCCTTTCTTCCTCACTAACCCATGAATCATCACAGTGTAAGTCGCAACCGTCGGATAAAACTTTCTCTCACTCATTCCTTCCCATATCTCTGTCGCGCGGTCAAATCTCCCTATTCTTATAAGGAGCTTTAGAACCATGTTGTAAGTGTGTCTATCTGGTAAACACTTGGTTCTATCCATTCTCGATAACAGCTTTGTTGCTCGATTCACTTCACAGTGATCGCAGTGGTAAGCCATTATCGAATTGTAAGTCCAAGTATCCGGATTAGCTCCTTTTTGAATCATCTCATCTAACAGTAAGTAAGCATCATCAACTTTCTCGTTCTTGCAGAGTGTTTTGATGATATGGTTAAATGTGTACACATTGGGTACAAGATCGTACCTTTTCATCCGATCAAGTACCTTATAAGCCGAGTGAACATCGCTTGCATCACAGTACGCGTGAATGAATATCGCAAAACTATACGCGTCCGGTTTAAGTCCAAGATTACCCATTTCTTGAAACATCTTATAAGCTCCATTAACATCACCAGATTTACACAAAGCATCTAAAAGAGCATTGTAAGCAAGCAAATCCACAACACAATTATTCTCAAGCATTTCATCAAACACCTTACGTGCACCCGACGCGTCTCGGATTCTCGCCCAACCTCTAACCAAAATGCTATACGTCTTCGCAGTCGGTACAATCCCGAACCCTTTCGCTTTATCGAAAAACTCCTGAGCATGATTCACATGTTTTCTATCGCAAAGCGAATGCAAAAGCTGATCAAGATCATCAACACAAGGCTTAATCCCAAACTCAACCATTCGATTAAAAGCTCTACTAGCTTCACTAGGTAAATTAGCTCTACTATAAGCTCTAAACACAATCCAAAACACTTTAGAAGTAATCTCAAAGTAATTATACTCTCTAGCTTCGATTAAAAAGTCCCAAAGCAAAGCGAATTGCTTGCTACTACCCAAAATCTCAACCAAAATGTGATAACTTTCCAAGCTATGTTCAAAATCTGGGATTTTTCTTGCCCATAGAAAGAATCTGTGAGCAGGAAAGCCGAGATTTTTGCAGCGTTTCAATACTTGTTCGACTAGATTCGACGAAACTCGGGGAGAGTAAGCGCCGAGAGTGTGTTCGAGGTCGTCTTTAGGGTTCCGGTGATCGCTGAGAACGCGGGAGATCTCGTTTACTAGATCTGGTGGTGGTGGATCGTGTAGAAGAGTAGAGAAGATACGAAATGATTGAGATTTAGGGGTTTGGTGAAGAGCGCGAACAAGAGAAGAGAATGTTCGAATCGCCATTAATGTGTGAAAACTGGAGCCAATCTGAATTTTGAAACGTTGAATCACTTAATATACACAAATGACAAAGCCTACAGGATTTGGATGTTTTGTAAGAGAGCCCAATAATTTTAGTTAGAGGCCCAATTTCTTTGTTGCAAGATTTGATCAATGGGAGAGAAATTGGGAAACAAATAATCTCCAAATAATCAGCATTTAGCAAAATATTGTTTTCATTTCTTCTTTTTTTTTTTTTAACTTGACGTGCACAAATTATTGTTTTTATTTTCCCAAATTCATATCCATCGTCCCCGACAGAGATTATCTATTTAATCACAACACACGAGTTGACTAATTAACAAAATTGATTAAGACAGATCACAGACTTATGTTACATATGATGAAATTTTGTTATATTTGTTAAATGATGACAAAAAAATTCGGAGTTTAGACATGATAACCACAAAGGGTGACCAACCAACATAATAAATATTTTAAATGAGAAATTAGAAATATTTGGTTTGGTTAAAGAGGAGAGAATTCTGAAAAATTCCTACTCATAAGATAAAATACAAAGTTTTTTTCCTGCTATTTGATTGCTACTTTACAAAGTAGTGCAGAGTTTCATCAGAACATGTATTAATCACTTCCATAAATGACAGAGTAAACAAAAATATAATTTTTGTACACCGAATAATCTGTTTAAACTAGTTTTTTTTTAGTTAATTAACCTTAAATTCTCCAACAACCGTCACTAGACATTGGCAAAAATCACAACGTGCAAGTCAGTCTTTTGTGAAGTCTAATAAAACATATTCATATATATACAGTCACACACGAACACATTTCCAATAATCTACTTTGTGGAAAATTTTGAAAGATGGGGAAAGATTTCAAGAGTTTGGTTACTAGATGCATCTATGTTGGGAAGATGAACGATAATGCAAAGAAGCTGAAAATCGCAACCGAAGAACTCAAAGATCTTGGCAGCAACGTGATGAAAAGAGTCAAGATTTGTGAGGAGCAGCAACAGATGAAGCGGCTAGACAAAGTTCAATCATGGCTAAGACAAGCTGACACTGTTATTAAAGAAGCTGAGGAATATTTCTTGATGTCTTCTTCGTCTTCTTCTTCCGGTTTGATATCGTCGAGCCACAAGATGGAGAAGAAGATTTGCAAGAAGCTGAAGGAGGTTCAAGAAGTTAAGAGTAGAGGAATGTTTGAGGTTGTTGCGGAAAGCATTGGAGGGATTGGAGGAGGAGGGGGTGGCGGATTGACGGTTAAGGATAGCGATGAGCAGACCATTGGGTTAGAGGCGGTTTCCGGTTTGGTTTGGAGGTGTTTGACGATGGATAACACTGGGATTATTGGATTATATGGTGTGGAAGGTGTTGGAAAGACGACGGTTTTGACTCAGGTTAATAATAGGTTGCTTCAACAGAAAGCGAATGGGTTTGATTTTGTTTTGTGGGTGTTTGTGTCCAAGAATCTGAATCTTGAGAAGATTCAAGACACGATTAGGGAGAAGATTGGGTTTTTGGATAGGACGTGGACGAGTAAGTCCGAGGAAGAGAAAGCTGCAAAGATCTTTGAGATCTTGAGTAAGAGACGGTTCGCTTTGTTTCTTGATGATGTTTGGGAGAAAGTTGATCTTGGTAAGGGTTTATAAATGGATTACTTATGGTGCAAGCAGTAGTGTTTATTACCTGTCGTATAAGTTATCTGTTTTCTTGTGCAGTGAAAGCTGGAGTTCCGCCACCGGATGCGCAAAACCGTTCGAAGATTGTGTTCACGACATGTTCTGAAGAAGTTTGCAAGGAGATGAGTGCACAAACGAAGATCAAAGTAGAGAAATTGGCGTGGGAGCGAGCTTGGGACTTGTTTAAGAAGAATGTTGGAGAAGATACAGTGAAGAGCCACCCAGACATAGCCAAGGTGGCTCAAGAGGTTGCAGCAAGGTGCGACGGTCTTCCTCTAGCTTTGGTTACCATTGGCCGAGCCATGGCTTCCAAGAAAACTCCTCAAGAATGGCGTGATGCCTTGTACATCTTGAGTAACTCTCCTCCTAATTTCTCAGGTCAAATTTCTCAAACTGATCACATTTTTTTATCCTGTATAGGTTTTGTATTCTTAGTTTTTTAACTGATTATCATTTTTAACTTATTGTTTTGTAACAGTTCTCAAGTTACTGGACAGGAACTAGGTCAAGCCCAGAGGCGGAATTTAAATTGGGAGTATGTTAATGTATTTGTTTGAAGTTACTTGCTAGGTTGTTTTTGAAGAATTTGTTTGTTTTTTTATTTCTTTTATTGTGTATTTGTTTTGTGATTTTCTCAATCATCATATATAAGAAGAATGAAATGTTCTAATATCAACGGTAAACAAAAAAGTTTCAATTAAATTTTGGTAAAAAAAAGGTAATGGTACGGACAAAGATTTTTGTCTATGTGGAGAAAAAAACAAAGAAGCAAAAAATACACAAAGCACAAACACAATTAAGCCAAAATCAGTTCTTACTGAAGCTTCTTGATGCCTGGAAATGAAGGAAGAACTGTGATGAGAGCATCGTTGTATCCTACAGGCTCTGTCGAATCCCAAAAAGAGGAAGAAAAAACCGAAAGTCAGTAGAGAGAATTGATGGCAGTATGAGTATTGATTCAACGACATAGCAAATAGGTTCTTACCGCCATCTTCGCGGAGTATTTTGACAATCTCACCGGAAACATCAGACTGAAAGAAAGAAAGAACACAATAAGCAGACTGAGAAAGCGAACAAAAGCAAAGAAACCGAAAGGGATTACTATTATTACCTCAACTGGGATTTGGCCACCGAGTTGTTCAATGTAGCATAGAACTTGACCTTCCTTCACTATGTCTTTCTGTAGAATAACAAAAAGCAAATATATAGTCAGTCTGAGCGATTCGAGATACTCTGCGAAGATGGAGAATTATTAAAGACCTTTTCAAAACAAATGAGAAAACGTACCTCTTTACAGATTGTAGGAGTTCGTTTCCCTTTTATGGTCTTGGATCTCCTGAAATAACCGACCTGGAACAATAAAAATCCATCCAATCGAGAGATCACAAATTTTATCATGTCATGACAGTTTTAAAGAAATTATCTAGTGTTGAGCTTCAAAGTTAATTTGGTCTCTAACCGTTGGAGATTGGAGAATCACTAAACCCTGATCAGCAGCTTTGTTAGCAAGTGTTTGTGGCCTGTCTGCCGAAGAAGGTGATGCTTTTGTGATAGCCAATGACGAAGAAGTGGCTGAGCCATTAGTATGAACCCCCTCAGGAGTTGCGCTTGCAGCAACCACAGGCGGAATTTGCTGAGGCGGTGGACTACTTTGGTCAGCTAATTTCCTTGCTACATATAGGCGGAAACCTCCCAGCTATTAGAAATATGCAGATGAAAGAAAGTAGAATTATCAGACACAATCTTTAGAGCAAACTTAGCAGAGACGAGTAATCGAATGAGCTGATAAAACAAATATAATTACGAGTTCAGAAATCAGAAGTGTGGCTTACTTTGAGTTCAAACTCTGCAATTGATGTGGAATCAGTGATTTCACTGATAAGTGCTTCCACCTAGAAGATGGAAAAGAAACTTAACGGCTCAATTCACATAACTGATCTCCAAGCTGGCAAGAGTTGCAATAACAACGCATGCCTTCACAAATGCAACTTTCTAGCTTTGTAAATTTCTAACTGACCCCTTCAAGGTTATAACAGTTGTACATTATACTTAATCTTGGATTTGAGAGTATTAACAGAAGGTAACACTCACCTCAGAGGACTTAGGAATAAGCTGAGTATTCACAACAGTTGGTTTGGTCTCTTCAGAATCTTCTACGTCTGCAATAGCTGTAGTGAAGAATGTTAAGAAGTAAACATGCAAACCAAAAAAACTGAATAGAAAATCTAAGCCACAACTCAGCATTGTCTCAATGGTTTCATGACAAAATCAAGTGAATCAGAAGACACAGACAGATTACTAATATACCTTGTGTTTCTGCAGGTGGGACAGTAGACAATTGGATAGCTTTCACAGATCGCAAAGTTGTCCTCAGACTCAGATACTTCATAGGGCTTTGGTCAATAAAAAGTCTTTGATTGTTCGGTATCAGCAAGTTTCCACATCTTAATCTACTGAAACTTGTTGCAGAAATTCTAACTTTTGGAGCTCTTAAGCTACCTGAAACAGGATTAAAAAGTTATCAATAGTCCTCCATAGATCCTTTTACCTTAAACTACATGTTTCCACAACTAATATCACCAAAAAAAGAGCATTTTTAGAAGAAAAAAAATTTGACATCTAATTCAATGCATCAAAGTTATAGTCTTGAAACGAGTTGAGGATTAATAAGCATTATAAAGAAACAAGCTTTAAATGAATTATCTTGAAACGAAGACACATCAACAAACTCTAAATCAAGATCATAGAGTCAGGCTCATTTTTCATTCTTCTCTATACACGAATCACATTGCAAAAGAACTCTTCTTGTTCAAACCCATTTCAATAGCAAAGAAGACTAGATTAAAACAAGGATTCACGAGAACAACAAAATCATTGAGGATCAAATATACCAAAAAGAAACTTGATGGCAACAGAGAGAGAAACTTACAGGAATTCATGGAGGAAGATAAATAATAATGTAGATGCGAAGAAGAAGAAGATGGGAAAAAGCTGAGTAAACGATACGAACGAGGAAGACGATTTCTGATTTGGCGAGTGACGACGACGATGAAATCAAATTTGATGAGAGACCGACCAGTGGTTCCCTTGTTCGATACAATCAGAGTGAAGCAAAAGAAAGTGAGTAACTGGATTTGATTTGGGTTTTGTTGGCCCATTACTTTGTCCACAAAGCCCATTATTACTAAACAGCTTTCAAAATAAAATCGACTCATTTTTTAAGCTCGCTCTATTTCTTTTAATTTCTTTAAAATATATTTTTTGGTGAAAAAATAAAAATGTAGTTATATTAAATATCAATGCAATTAAAAATATAACTTAGATTATTATATCTATAACATGATTTTCAGTTTAGCGTGAAAGTTGTGAAATTATGATCGATTAGTTGTTGGTAATCTCGGTCCCTAAATACCCGTTATAAATTCATTGTTGCAATCCGGTATAAACATATGTCAGCAAATAATTGATTAGAGCAATTCATAAATCCAAGTCGAATAAATAGATTACAGAAATAACTTAATCTGGATTAAGTCTATAGTTACATGTTAATTTAACTGTCATACGGTGGTAATCTCATGTTTGATTTGTAAAAATCTTAAAGAGTTATACAACTTTCAACAACCAGTTTAATAATATTTTAATCTTAAAGTTGTATAAGAGCTTTAAGATTAAGAGCGGGGATGGGCCTTTAGTCAAGTGGTTAAGTTCACTTGACTCCGCCTTTCCCACCGGAGTTCGACTCCACTAAGTCGCGTTACCCCGCGTAGTAGGGATTGGCTATGGATCGGGCCTTGTCGATTCAAAGATGTCAAAAAAAAAAAAAAAAAAAAAAAAAAGTTGTATAAGAGCACTACACCTTGTGATCGAATCCATACCTACATTTGAGATATAATTTTCTTTTCTTATATAAATAAGAACTCAATAATATTATCATATGACTAATTTATTATATAAAGACCCTTACTAGGGGTTGTATAAGACACGTAAAAATGTCTCGAACGTACAATAATAATCAAAGCAATCAGAAGACGATATTCATTTTTATTTTATTGGAGAAGATTAGGCCAAAATTTCTTAAATAATTCCTTTTTACATATTCTTGGAACCGGGCTTGCTCGAGCGGGTCGTGCCAGCCGGGCTGCTAGGGCTGTTGGTGGCCGGACTCATCCCGAGAGTGTTCTTCACAGCGTCTGCTGCTCCTTGTGCCATGTTTTTCACTTGTCCACCAGTCTACACTCCAAAATCAACAAGAAATATGTCAATGCATATAAATGTCTATAATTAGTAATAATGAAAGAAAAAAATGAGAAGAAAAATAAACCTGTTGGATGACACTAGAGGCCTGGGAAATTAGGGAAGGATTGTTCTGATCATGCTCTGAGTGTAACTGTGACTGTGAGTGAGTGTGATGATCAGCATTCTGGTTCATTGCGTGTGATACATTGTTCAAGTACTCTTCCTTCTTCAGCTATAAATAAACAAATATTTGATGTATCATCACAAAATTCAGATTTCGAAAATAAATATATAGTGTCTGTTCAAATCATAAGAAGATAAAGATGTCGTTCTTTTGTGTGTTGTATGTATGTACCTGAACTTGACCGGTGACTTCTCCGGCGCTGTGGCTCAATTGCTGGCTCGACGACATCTTTTTGGTTGATCTGTGAAATGTCTTAATTGATTAAGATTTAAGTTTGTAGAATACTTGAAGGGATTAATATGCATTATAGTGGTATTTATACAATTTGAATGTTATATTTAGTAAACTCCTAAATCTAAGCATTACACTAACACGTGGAAAATAATATTAGTGACGATTGACATGGCTAAATTATTTTGTGGAGGTGAATAGTTTGAGGACTTATTATTACCCTAAAGTTGCTTGGTCAAGAAGTGAAGTAGGATGACCGGCAATAGGAAGATCTTAAACCTTTTTTTCCGGCGACAACATTTTTTTCTTTTCTTTTTGGTTGTCAAAAAGACATTTAATCAGTGTACGATTCGTAACGAATACATTAAAAAATAACAAAACTACAAAATTGAGCAAATAATTTTATATTTACAAATTAATCTTGTAGTAATAGAATAAACTTGTGCAATACAAAAATATTAATTTGTGTAAGAATATATTACTCGGTATTATTTTTAGCTGTCACTTTTTTTTAGCGCTTGTATTTCTATATTATGGCAAATAATGTATAAGAATTTAACATTATACAACATAATTTCAAATAAACATCTGGGTTTTATAAATAGGCGGAAAAAAATGTATAGACATGCTAACACCAAATAGTCTAATGGTTTTAAAGATCCGATCGGATTGTAAAATTTTATAGAGTTTTATTCTTGGTATCTAGCTAAAAATATTGTGACAAATTATATTTAATGCGTAATGACGGTTGCATAATATATGGATTGAGTATATGAATCATGAATATCCAGTATCAAGATAACGTGAGTCACCACGTGTCTAGCATCTTCCATAGTTCAGTTTTTACCATGACGTGTCACATCAACATAGGTAGTCATGAGAACGAGAAACCCAACTTTTACACTCGCACATTACTCCAAGTTTCGAAACTTCGTCACTTTAACCTAATCGCGGCACGTAGCTACACATAACACACCTGTCGAGAAACTGCAACACCTATCTTGTTCTCTCGCCGACCAAGACTTGCTATAAATATCTCTGACGAACGAGTCGGAGACATCTCACAGTTCCAAACACACAAAAACACAGGGTCTAAAAAAAGCTTTGATCATTAAGAAAACTTCGGTTTCGAATTTTCGAGTTTTTTCGAAGAGAGAAAATGGCGTCTCACCAAGAACCGAGTTACAAAGCTGGTGAAACTAGAGGCAAGGCTCAGGTACTAAATCATTTATATGCATAACTATGAATCCACAATACTTTTTGGCAATAGAAGCATTAAATGATTTAATTTTTAGAAACTTATGCAAAACCTAAAAGTAAATTAGTGTTATAGGTGAAAAAACAAAATGAGTGTTAAAGTTAATATTTTATGATGTATCTTTTTCTCACCACATCTTAAAAATATATCTTCGTATATTTAGTTTGATTATCTAAAGAATTTTAGTTTCCAACGTTATTGACTCAACTTCACTCCAGTTTTGAGTTTTTTTTGCTAAGCTTGTAAATAACTCCAGTTTTAAGTTATTTACGTAATTAGCCTTTGTTCTAATGTAAAATCCAATCTTCAACTGTAGGAGAAAACAGGGGAAGCTATGGGAACGATGGGGGAGAAAACACAAGCAGCTAAGGACAAAACTCAAGAGACAGCCCAAACAGCCCAACAAAAGGCTCATGAAACAGCTCAGTCAGCTAAAGACAAGACATCTCAAGCTGCACAGACAACTCAACAGAGAGCTCAAGAGTCCAAAGACATGACAGGAAGCTACATGTCGGAAACTGGAGAAGCAGTCAAGAACAAGGCACACGATGCAGCTGAATATACTAAAGAGACTGCAGAAGCAGGTAAGGAGAAGACTAGTGGGATCTTGGGCCAGACCGGTGAGCATGTGAAACAGATGGCTATGGGAGCTACTGATGCAGTGAAGCACACTTTAGGGCTTGGCACTGATGAAGGAAATAAAGAACATGTTTCTTCAGCTCCAAGTACTACTACGACCACTACTCATGAGACACAGAGGAAGTGAAGAAGAGGATAAATATTTGTTTTGTGTTCTTGGTTTTCATGTTTGTTTGCTTTGATTAGTGTTTGTTGTGTTCGTGAGATTATGTTTATCCTTGTTGTTGTTTATTGGGTTTGAATGTACTTTTACGTATTATTATGTGATGGTTTTCTTCTGTTACGTTATTTCGGGTTGTGATTTTTGAATTTGATTAGTACGGAAATAAACAAGTTATAATTAGTATATCTTATAAGGTTTTCTGTTTAATACTGTATACCATAAACAAAAGATATTCGCTTCAGAAAATTCTTTTTATTTAATTTTTTTTTAACGTTTTCACTATTATTTGCCCGAATTCACAAAAGTATAATATAAGAATAGAAACAAGCAAAGATATTCGCCTCAAGAACATCCGGTTTTCCCACTAAGGAGACAGCAGTTGAAAAATGCACAACTGACGAGTTTGTGATCTTGTAGCCATGCAACTACCAACAGGCAATAGTAGCAGCGGTATAGATGAGAGTATATGCACAGTCATGTAACGAATTTTCTTTACTAAAATATAATAGATAAATATAATTTCACTTTTTTAAAGGTTTCGAACGAAGAATACATTAACTATTGATTATGAATACCAAAGACAAAAAAAAACGAAAGCTAAAAATAAACACTTCATTATATTATACGATAGTTTTGCTCCCCAATTCTTTACTTTATGCAGCAGAATTTAACCATATCCTCAAAGCCCAAGGTTTGTGAGCCAGACACGGATCTCATTTGTTACATGATCCCTGCACACATTGTATATAACTCAAATTCAGTGATGTATGTAAAGAAAATAGTAATCAAAACAAAGTAAGTGTATAGTAATCGGTATTTAGACCCTCCACATTGTTTGAACAAGGTTGGAAATCCAGCCATGCGAAGGGAATCAGCACATCTGTATCCAAATGAGGAGGGAACTACATCATCAGCTGTGACACAAAAAAAATGCAATAAATAATCAGCATGATCTCTATTATAAAAACAAAACATATTTAAGCATATTTGATCTCGTGATTCTTATATATCTAGATAACATATTAGATATATAGATGATAATATATCTTCTTGAACATACACGTTCCATGCAGAATTAAGATTTTTGATGCTGCAGCACGATTTGCGGTCCCAAAATTGGTATAATTCATATTGTATTCCAACCTCCTGCAAAATTATGTTTGGTTTTCCATTATTTAAAGGTAGATGTAATATAAGTTCTTAAAATTAGTGACAAGTGACATAATTAAGGGCTTCAAGATCTTACCTCCAACCAGGAAGCCAACCATTGATCCCTATAGTAATTTGTGGGTTTATGGGAACCCATCCAAAGGCATAACAACTCGTATAATAGAGAGCTTGTGCTGCACCCAAGCCGATACCTGCCACTCCTTTTATCACTACCAAAACAAACATTGACATATTACTTAATCAACCATATAGTTAAGTATAGATATTTGATCACCAAACATAAAGTGTAGATATTTTCAGGATTACCATTTTGTGGTTCAGAAGAGAAAAGGTAGGTAATATATTCATTTACATAATTTAAAGTTCCAAAATCATCTTGCATGTTCTCAGAAACTTTTGTGATGTCGCACCCTGATTCATCATAAAGGTTTATTAATTCAATAGTATTAGTTTTCTAATTCTAGTACTATTTTAGAGACATCAAATACCTATAATTTTTTTAATGATTTAAGGTCTCGAAATTTAAATCTAGCTAATCTTACATGCATTGGTTATCTCTCCACCCAAGGAAGTAACACGACGTCTAGGAGCAGTCGGACAAATCCATTTTATCTACACCAAATCGTAAGTGTTGATTAGAAACTTCAGCTAATTTTCCATTTTGGCTATATTAAGATCATTTGCAAAAAATACATATGTTAGTGGAACTGTACATTGGGAAGACGCAAATTTCGCAGAGGCTCAAGAGAGCTGCAGACATAATAGACAATTAGACATACATATAATGAGAAGAATATTTCGAATACAAAAATATATATATATATTGTAAATAGTGAAACGAACTTAATATCTTATAAGAAAATAAAAGTTTAGAGGAATGTAAAATAATAGAGAAAATTTATTATTCTTTGCAGCGCCATAACCTTTTTATACAAATAAAAATTCATCCAAAAAATGTCGAACTGACAAAATTAGTATTTGCATATCATGGCAAAATTCAACTTTTCACATATTAAAAGACTTAAAAGTATATATCTATTTTTTTTGGTTTAATAAAAAACTTAAAAGTTGAAGTACTTCCAAATCATATTTCTAATTTTAACGAGAATCTTTGATTTTTGAAAACAAAAGAGCATATATAACGATAAACAATATAGCATGTGAGAGTGTTACTCGAAGCCTGTGTTGTCTACGTCATGTAGCCAGATTATAGTAGCTTTATGAATTCCTGTGTGTTTAATGACATTAACCTGTCCAAATTCCAAGCCACTTACGTTTCCGCTACCTGCATATAGTTATTATTCGCAAATTCACTAATGAGTTACGTTCCACACATATAGTAAATATTTGAGAGAAAACTATCAAACAATTTTGATAATAATCACAACTAGGGAAAAACAAACCAGAAGCCATGCTCCAATGAGAATAACTTTTGTTTTTATAGTATTATTTCGGAAGCTTTTAACTTGCACTAGAGATGAAAAATATAAGAATAGGCAAGGGAAGACATTGTGTATATATACAAGAAATGAGTGTTTACTTTTTTTTTTTTGGTTAACCAATAAAGGAGCCTTATGACAGAAAAATCCTAGTATTAAAAGTGGAAAAAATCTTATTTCTTAAATGTTGGATGGGATGGCCAAATCTTATACTACTAAATTGAGGGAAAACTATTTATCTTTTTTTTAATAATGCATAATTTATTTAAAACAATTAATAATTTTTCTGTTTGTTTAGTATTTGTTTAATTGTTTTACATAATATGAAAAAGGGAAACAACCAAAAAAGTGTTTGGGTGGAACCCATATATAGCTATATTAATTTTTCATAATTAATGCATAATTGTTTTAATATTAAGAGCATTTATGTATAAAAGAAAAGAAAGCCCTCTATAGCTATATTGATATTTGACACCTGCCTCATCAAATATATATTAATGGTTTTATAACTTTGATCTTATAATGACTAATTAATTTTGCTTAAATATATAGTAAAAATAATATACTATTTATTTTCTAATTATTAATTCTTCCCTAAATTAAATAGCACGTTGGGTAATCCTAATACTCCCTCCGTTTCAGTTTAGTTGTCGTTTTAGGATTTAAATTTTGTTTCATATTAGTTGTCGTTTTAGGTTTTCAATGCAAATGTTTGGTGAAAATTCCAGTTTTATCCCTACTGTTTTAATGTTTTTCTTAATTTGTGTGAAAAAACCTTAAACGACAACTAAAACGAAACAGAGGGAGTAATGTATACAAAGTAATTAAAGATCGCAAAATTAATAGAAATAAAATATATTTCAGAATCCCTATATGAATTGGTTAAAACACGTACATTGTCTCAAAAGAGTAAATCCAAAATTTAGACTAAGTTCATAGAATTGCATTTTGTTTAGGCCATCTGCTTGTGAGTATATATTATATAGAATATTTATATTTTAAAAGTAATCAAAAGCACATGCCTAGAAATTATAAAGAGAATAAGGAATTTGAAAATAAATGTGAGTTGAGTTGAGTTACTGAGTTATATAGTCCTTATATTATCTATTAATCCAAGTGACTTAAAATCTATGTAAGTTTTAGAGATCATATTCTAATAAGCTGAAAATGTCACGGCCGGATGGCGGCTAGGGTTAATGTTCATGGAAATACGAGGGTCATGTCCCCGCGGTATGGTAAGATAGGTTTGGAAGTTTCTCGAGATTTCATTTTCCTATTGTGTCGATTTTTTGAGTCTAAGGTTTTTAAAAATTGATTATCACATTAATAAAAGAAACCCTAGAAAAAAGGTCTTTGCTTCAAAAACAATTTTCCCGGTTCCGAGCTCCACTACCGTCGGGCCTTTAATTTGATTTTCCACTTTTTTGTGGGCCGTTTTTGGACCGTGTAACTCTGTTTGTCATGCCCATTTGAGTCTATTAATATAGTTAATTAATTTTTTTAAAAACGTTAAGAAGAACATAAGCTATTTAAAAAAAAAAAAAATAGGAAACATATACATGTTGAAAACGTATGCCAAAAAGAGAGAAAATTGTGATGTTAATTGTGTGCAATCTCAAATATAATATGTTATCATCATTAAGGAAATGCAATTATGTGCAATATCAAATAATATGTTATAAATTATAATGATATATTCGGCAGTTCAACACAACATCATTTTGATTTATTTCGCCAAATGACCATAAATATAAATTTTACTAAGATATAATAGAAAAAGATATTTCGCTCTTTTTCTTAAGGTTTCGAACGAAAAATACATTAAATATTGATTACGAATAGCAAAGACATAAAAATATAATAAAACATTTTATAATATTGTACGATAGTTTTGCTCCTCAATTCCTTCATTTCTTTATGCAGAGTTTAATCATATCTTCAAAACCCAAGGTTTCTGAGCCAAACACTGATCTCATTCATTACATGATCCCTGCACACATGATATAACTCAAATTTATAGATGTATGTTAGAAAAATTGTAATCAAAGCAAAACACATTGAATTAATCGATGTTTAGACCCTCCGCATTGTTTGAACATGGTTGGAAATCCAGCTCTTCGAAGGGAGTCAGCACATTTGTATCCAAATGCAGAGGAAATAACATCATCAGCTGTACCACGAAAAAAACGATAGAATTCATTATTTAGTATGATCTCGCAATTCTTATCTAATACTATTATATATAACTTGTTTCACTTACAAGTTCCATGCATAAGTAAGATTTGTGATGTCGCAGCACGATTTGCAGCTCCTAAAGTAGTATTACACATATTGTATTCTAATCTCCTACAAGATTGAGTTTGGCTTTCTATTATTGAAAGGTACATATATAATATAAGTTTTAAGAATTTGTGAACGTTAATATATATGGGAGCTTGAAAAGGCTACCTCCAGCCAGGAAGCCAACCATTGATTCCTATAACAATTTGTGGGCTTATGGGAACCCATCCAAAGGCATAATAACTCGTATAATAGAGAGCTTGTGCTGCACCTAAGCCGATTCCTCCTACTC